TGTTAAAAGTGACACAAGTGGCTCCCTACAGAAGATATTAGTCACTGTGCTAGAGGTAAGGCTGGGCCTTTCCTCTTATGCATCTACCTGATGGAGATATTTCCTTTTCTCTATCCTGTCTACCCTGGGTCATCATAGTAAATATTAACTGGTATTTATAATAATGTAATTATTATATGTAATACAATAATGAGATAATTATAATACACAAAAGGTATTCTTCAGGATAAGAGACTCGTATATTTATAGCTTTTTAATATAACTAAAGGACTTACATAAAATCAGAAGTAATTTTATAAATTTCAATAATTAAAAGACAACAGCATTGTTTTATTACTATTTATAACAGGGTAATGGCTAGAATACCTACTTAAGGTCGTGGCTATATTATGCTGAATTTGACCTAAACCAAGCAAATTCTGATTTCCATTTCAACTGAGGAATTCACAATTCAGATAGATACAGCAGAAGTAAGACATGGCTGTTAATTTTCATTTCACAAAAAAACCCTATATTTTCCAGTACAACAGACTTTATGTTAAACCAGCTGTGTAGAATTATAGAATATCTCAAGTTGGAAGGAACCCACAAGGATCATCGAGTCCAACTCCCTGCTCCTCGCAGGACTACCTAAAATGAAATCATATGACTAAGAGCATTGTCCAGACACTCCTTGAACTCTGACAGGCTTGAAAAAAATTAACATCTCCATAAAGACACAGTACAACTAGGAAGAGTAGGATGATGCCTAGGAATGCAATGTGGTGGCCAGTCTGAGCAGACAGCCCTTAGAAATTAAAAGATTCAATAAATAGAAGAAGCTTTAAAGACCTAACAGTCACATTGCTAAACACACCATAATTAGGCTTTCAGTTTGGAAAGTATGGATACATCTCTCTTTGACCTCTTGGGGTGTATTTTCAGGAGTGACAAACACATACTATTCATAGATTATTTTCATAGATTAGTCCTTCATAATTTCTACCAGGAGTTACAACGTTAGTGAATGCTCAGAGTATGCAGGTTAGTCAGGAAAATATTTTGCAGTTATCAGGGCATATCCAGCACCACAAAAACTGTCAGCACTTCACTGCAGGTACTGGGAACGTTTTTGCAGTAGCTGGATGATGGATACACCAGCTGCTTCTCTAAGAAACTTTGCAGTTTGCGCCCAGGGTGCTGTACGTACCCAGCAGCTCAGCCCTCCAGGGATGAAACCAAAGGCTGTGCTGGGGCAGTCCTGTTCCAGCTCCATCTGCACATTTCAGCCCATTCCCACCCCGACATCTGCCCACACACACTACCACTTCCCACCTGTGGAAAAATACCCACCAAAAAATGGCAGAAAGCAGAACCAAAGAACAAGCCAGGTGGGAAGGGACCTCTGGCGCTCCTCTGCTCTGGCCCTCCTCAAAGCAAGGCTAACTCCAAACGCAGACCAGGTTTTCCTCTGATTTTGTTTTCTGCTACCCATGGGGTGGCAAGGAGGCTGGAGTCAAGGGGGGGCAGCAGGCCACCCTGCCATGGGGGAGCACCTGCAGGGTATGTCTAATGCTGTGCAGCTGCCCAGCTCCGACAGCCCCTTCCTGCTCCAGAGGCACCGGAGTTGGAGTCCCATAAGGGTCCCAGCACACATCAGATAAGACTGGGAGATAAACACTACCACACAGGCTTCACCCCTAAAGTAAGCAAAACCAGAGGCTGTGGTTTTGAACAGACCATTCAAAACTGTACCACCCAGTGCCACCATGCCCCATTACTAGGCATTGTCAGCAGATGGCAGCAAAACTATAACCGAAATATTTGTGGGGTCCACGAGATGACAATCTTCCCTTCCACTATGAAATGTCATCGCCACTTAGTCTGGTTTTTTTACTGTCATGTCCTTTCCTGTAGGCAACCAGAGATGAGACGCTAGAGGTCAATGCAGAGCTCGCTGAGCAAGATGCCACGGATCTGTATAAAGTAAGTGTAATTGTGGAAAAATCCCCATTTTCCCCATGCTGCGCAGCAAGGGCTGCCTCGAGGGTGACTGAACACACCAAGTACGGGGGCAATGGCAGTGTAAGGAGATGAGAGAGGGGGGCACAGGCTGGAGCTTGGTGGATCAAGCTCTGGCTGACTTTTTGTCTCTACTGTGAATAAACAAGCACTTAAAAAAATTAACATGCAATCTTTAAGGCAGGAGAAGGCCGCTGGGGAACAGAGGAGCTGGCTTTCAATGTGGTCTTAGCAAAGCGCAGCTATAGTCAGCTGAGAGCTACTTTTCAAGCCTATGAAAAGGTGAGTTAATCTCTTCTGCAATGTGGGTTGCGTAGGGCCCGACATATAGTTTGCAGGCACTGCAATGATATGTAAAGCAGGCAATCCCTTATTTACCATTTTAAAACTTCTGCATGCTTTAAAAATCTTGGAAGAACATTTCTGTATGACTGGATCCTGATCTTATGGAAAGACACATAGGGGATAAAAGCTGTGTCTTCTGCCAGTGAAGAACCTATTCCCCTTCATAACCCACACAACATCCAGCCAAACAAATGTCTCGATGTTGTTTTCTCCCCATAACAGCACGACAGTGGGTGTCCCCCCTCTTGTGGGAAGACCAGCAAAGGGACAGGTTCACAAACTCCTGCCCTAAAGCAGGGTTTTTCTTTTCTGGTCATGTTCTTCTCCAAAGCAGACCCCAACAAGGTCTCTCATCCTGATCCCCCTGCTTCATACGCTCATATTGGCTGGGCAGAGGCACATCTCCAGCCTCTTCCTCTCTGCCCATGCTGGGCAGACAGCCTGTGCAGGTACTTTGCTGCACTCTCCTTTGTCTCCAAGCATAAGGCAAAGTAGGTAGCAGGATCCTGGCTGTCTGGTACTTCTCCCTGTGTCACCCACCAGGGACATTTTACTCATGCCTGGACCTGGAACTGACCTCCACTGAGACGTCTCACCTGGCAATGACCTGTGAAAGTCAAAGCAATGGGAGATCCAGGGTCCTTCTCCTGGCAGCGAGGTAGAAGTGCAGCGGAGACATTTATTTTCAGGAGAGGGTCTCCCCTCCAGTCTCTGACTCAGTCCTGAACTTCCCTAGGATGACTCTGAGTTAATCAGAAAACTGTAACCCTAGGCACTGAAGTTGAAAAAAACTCCAGTCAAGGCCATATTTTAGTGTCAGCACAATAAGGAACCCATAGTTGGAAAAAATGTTTGCAGCTTAGTCCAAGTTTTGGGTTGTTGCTGGCAGGAGAACAAAACCAGTCACTAACTGATACTCTCTCCCTCAGAGTGGCCCAAACCCTGGGGCTTCAGTTAAATGCTCCAATAGCCAAGCTACCTTGGCTTTTTGGTTCCTAAAGCCAAGCAGATGAGTTTGCCCAAACCAATCTACCACATCCTGCCTGGCTGTATTTGAAGTAGAAGTGAGCCAAGATTAGAGCCATGCAAACATCAGTCCTTCTCTGCATTTGGAAAGATAAGTAGGGCCAGATCTAAACCAGGTTGAGGGTTTGCAGAACTTAAGCCCAAATCCTACCCTTTCCCACCTTGTACCCATGGTGTCCCAGCTCTGACCTAAAAGTCCACTAGAGTCTTGAACCATGCAGGGCCATCCTGATATGCAAAACAGAGCAAAGTAAAAGGCTTTGAGGTTCATGAAATTCACAAAAGTCAGGACAAATTTTGGTTTGAAGTGGCGGTCTGTTTTTCCCCTTTCCTACAGAATAATACAAAAACTCGGGAACAACTGCATTGCTTGTAAACTTTCCCTGGGAAGCCAAAGACAATAAGCAACAAAACTTCATAGAGCTGGTAAAGCTCCAAAAATTATCTTATTTGTGTGGGAGCCATCCAGAGCCTTTGATAGGGGGGTTAAAGGAAGCTCAAACAGTTTCTCCTGACTAGGGGTCATTCAAGAAGAAGCTGCAGCTTCGATGTCCTAGAAGCCCTCAGATATGTGTGACTACTTGATTTAGGTTGTCCATCTCTTAATTGTTATGCCTTACTTGGCCGCATAGACCTTCTTCTCCTGGCCGCATAGACCTTCTTCTCTTGGTGCCAGTGGATCTGTGAGCACTTACACCAGGGGAGAACTTCATTTGCCCTTAAATTACTCCCTTGGAAAGGCTCTAAAGGATCTGAATTGGCCTTTTGCCATTGGATCCCAAATCTAATGCTGGTTTTATGGCAGTGGGATGAGATGTACAGACAGCGGCTCTGATGGCTCCTTTTTGTTGTACTCGTAGGTGTGTGGGAAGGACATAGAAGAATCCATTAAAAGTGAAACATCTGGAGATCTGGAGAAGGCTTACCTCACTCTTGGTAAAAAAAAAAAAAAAGCATCAAGAGCTTTCCTTTCTAGTTCTTGCCATCATCTGGCATTGGTTGTTGGGGCTCTGTGTACAGCCTAGCAACAGACATCAAGATTGCCCTAATTGAGCTGACGTATCTGCTAGGAGAAGTAGAGCCAGTTTTCAGTTTTGGACCCCTTGGTTTTAGAAATAAAACTTGCTAGACACAGCTTCTCTCCACACATCTCAATTATTTGCCCTCTAACACAGGGTGGCCACCTCCAAGCTGCCCCTGAGGCCATGGCTGTTGATAACTTCCAGCAGATGCCTGGGCATCATCAGAAGTGTGCTAGCCAGCCGCAACAAAAATGAACAGGGTCCTCGACAGCCATTTAGCATTGGGGATGATTGTGACCGGTATTTAGGCCTGTGCCCTGGCTCTGGTTAGCTTACTGGTATTGTTGTTATCTATCTGGATCTGAGGTCTCCCAAATCTTGCCCCTGTGAGCTGTGGAGTGAGCAGCTACCCCAAGAATAGATGGACAAGACGACCTCCAGAGTTTGGAGAACTCTGAGAGAGTTCTCAGAGTTTGCCCCAGTGGGGTAAATGTTCGTTCTCATTCATTTCATTTTCACTGTGGAATGGCAGAGTACTCAGTGCTGATCATCTCACTATGTAAAAGCTTTCCCCGTGGAGAAATGTATGTCCCTGTTCAGACTCCAAGACTCCTTGCATACTGATAGGGGACCAGTCATAAAATGAAAGCTCTACCAGCTCATATGTCTAAGGATAAACCCTAGAAATTTCCTTTATTTCTTCCTTATTTATTTCCTTCTCATTGAAGATGTATCACAAAGTGTAAATAGACAAGTCTAATGAAGCCTCTTACTGTTTTCTCTAGTCAGCTGTGCCAAAGACTGCCCAGGTTACTTTGCTACACTTCTGCACAAGTCGATGAAAGGAGGTGGGACTGATGAAGAGACCTTGATTCGCATCCTTGTGACCAGAGCTGAGGTAGGGTACCCTGCGACCTGTAATACCTCACATCAGCTCTAGGAGAAATACAAATGTAGAGTGAGTCCTGGGAGATCATGTGCTTAGTCACCCCATGTCAGCTCAATGACATCAGTGATCACACTCTGCCTTTGTACCCAGGCAACTCTAATTTTGATATTGCATCGATTTCTGTTTTCAAAAGAACTAAACCAGAAAGCATGCAGGCAATTTCAAGTGGAGGCAACTATACCTGGTTAAAACTAACCCATGGAGAGGTCTGTAAAAGTAAATTCCTAGTTAAGTAATGATAAAGCAGCAGTTCCCAAATTCAGAATTGTGTGTAAAAATGTTGCCAATTCTCTCTGATTCCAGCTGGGAAAAACAGATGGGGAGGAGGGAAGAAAAATAAAAACCCAAAGGAGATAATTGCAATTTTAAAAAGCACAAAACTGCACAAGACATTTGAGATCTTAAACATAGTCTTTAAGTCTTCCTTCCTTGTAAGCTGTGTAGGTTGTAACCTGAGGGCTGTTTCAGTCTTGACACAGAGAAGGAGTCATTCACAGGGATGAGGAGACCATATTTCTCAATGATCAGCAGTGTGAGAAATTAGGCTCCAGGGTAGTCTCTCTGTTAAGACTTGGTCCAATCATGATACCATTTAAAACCCCCAGTGATAAATATCAGACTGTGCCATGGGTGCCTTTTCCCAGGAAAGCTTGAGACACAACAATTAATTCTCTTCTGTAGTAACCAGAAAATTACTTTTGTGGGTGGAACAAAAATGTCTTTT